GCATACATTAGTATTTCATATTTTACAAATGTACAATACGTAAGTGTGTTTATCCAAAAGTTCGTTACTGCTTTCAATTCGTCGTTGTCAACTTATTTTATATTTCACACGAAATTGTACGCAAATCGACGTATACACATTTCGTGCCAAACACATTTTCCATAAACACGAAGTATGTCAACCTGTTGTCCTTTAAAAAAGAGAATGAAAATGAAATTTTCTAGATTGAAGAACTTTCAATTTAAAAATCGTGACAACCTTCTTCACAAATATAAAATTTATCCACCTACCGCCTTTTAAATAAATGAGTATCTTTTCCAGCATTTTGGAGTAAAAAAGAGAATGAAAATGAAATTTTCTAGATTGAAGAACTTTCAATTTAAAAATCGTGACAACCTTCTTCACAAATATAAAATTTATCCACCTACCGCCTTTTAAATAAATGATTATCTTTTCCAGCATTTTGGAGTAAAAAAGAGAATGAAAATGAAATTTTCTAGATTGAAGAACTTTCAATTTAAAAATCGTGACAACCTTCTTCACAAATATAAAATTTATCCACCTACCGCCCCTTAAATAAATATTAACTTTTCTAGGAAGACTAAAATGAGCGGGTATACAAAATTGTCAAAACTGAACTTTCAATTAGAAAATTTACGAATTTCTCCGATAACCATCGAAATTAACTAAACGTGCCATTGATAAGAAAATATTTGTCGGAAAAGAGCACACCACGTTGTGACCGCGGCCCTTTAATCCAACACGCGTAAAATACCAGAAACTATAGCCCGCAACGTTAGGTTAAAAGGGAAGAGAGGACCACCTCGTAGACTCTGTAAACTTTCACCATGCCAAATTCCGTGTTTTGCTCAATGAACATAAAAAAGTCGTTGGTTGACTTTTTTACTTTCAGCCTCATCTTATAGGAACCCTCGAGGTGATAAGGGAGGGGTTGTAATCAAGTGATTTTTACGAGTAGCTGTTACGGGGTCGCCAATATTTGCGGATCAGGGTGGAGTTCAGACTGCAACACCAGCCCTAAGTGAAGAAAAGGCGGGCGAGGAAAACGGCAGGAAAAATGGCTATTGTGTATCCCCTCAATAAGTGAGCTGACTAATTTCCTAAAGTATATGCTGAAACTTTCTTTCGTTTAACTTTCCGGTATCGCATGGTAAGAAGCTATAAATTTTCTATTAAACGCACGACGAAGAAAAAGAAACGAAAAGAGGAAGAGAAACAGATTCTCGATGATCCTCGTTGAGTAAACACTTTCGTGACATTTGCAATTTACCACGTTGACAAGTAACATAGCAGAAATGTTGAGGTAGATGTTTATTACATCGAACCGATTATTGTTACGCCTCGAGCGCGAAATAATGAAAACTTTATGATGAATTTAATTCTGAAGTAACTAATTTTACATATTAATGATAACCGCGGTACGGCGAAGCTGTTGCATAATCATATTTGACGTTCTATATGAATATTAAATGTATTCATTTTAAATAGTTATAATTAATCATATGCAACGCACCGTTAGGAAGATAAACCGTAACGCCCGAAAATACTACGGGCGGAAACACTGAAAATATCGCGAGCCAAATTTCGTATTATTACAATATCGAAAATTATCTTACCGCGTGAAATTTCTACATTTCTGAACTTCTAACAAACTACACTCTAAAAGAATCGCATATTTTCTGTATTTTTTTTCGAAGAAAGAGAAGAAAAATTTCTACTAATTTTCATTGGATTTCTAACAAACTGCAACTTAAAGAATCGCAAATTTCCTATACTTTCTGTGGAAGAAAAAGAAGAAAAATTTCCCCTAATTTTCGTCAGATTTCTAACAACTTAAAGAATCGCGCGTGTCCTGTATTTTCTGTCGAACGAAGAAAACGAGGTAAAATAGTTCATTTTCTGACAGAAACTGCAAAATCGTCCTAGTGAAAGTAAAAAGAAGAATAACGCGAAGAAGCAGTAGCCGATACCATCGAAATCAAACTTTATACCTACTCAAAATACGTTCAAAGCCGTTACTTAAACAGCGACAACGCTGCATCTCCATAAACGATTCCGTCTGAACGTATAACAC